CAAGTGAACACAAATTTAGTAGCTTAAAACAACACAGATTTACTACAGTTTTGTAGGTTAGAAGTACAACATGAGGCTCCCTGGAATAAAATCCAGCTGTTAGCAAGACTGTGTTCCTTTCTTGAGGCTCTGGAGTTCCTTTGCGTTTTCTAGCTTCAGAGATTGCCCCACATTTCTTGGCTCATGGCCCTTTCCTCTTTCAGCAAAGCCAGCAACAGCTTGTAAAGTTCACCTCACATCCCATCACTCTGGACTTCCCTCTGCCTCCCTCTTCCATATTTACGGATCCTTATGAGTCCACTGAACCCACCTGGACAATCTAGAATAATTGCCCTATCTTAAGGTTGATGGACCTTAATTTCATCTGCAACTTTAGTTCCCTTTTGCCATCTGTTGTTGTTCCGTTGCTAAGTCGTGTCCAACTTTTTTGTGACCCCATGGACTGTAGCCCACCAGGCTCCTCTGTCCATGGGATTTTCCAGGCAAGAAGACAGGAGTGGCTTGCCATTTCCTTATCCAGGGGATCTTCCTGACCCAGATTTTGAACCAGTGTCTCCTGCATTGGCAAGCAGATTATCATTGAGCCACCAGGGAAGGCCCTCCCTTTGCAATACAAGCGAATTTATTCAAAGTTCCCCAGGGGGATTAGAACATATATATGTTTGGGGGCCATTATTCTGCCTCCCACAGGGGCTCATTTATGTTTAAAATGAAAGCTCATCTACATTTAAGGTTGATGAGTGTAGGTGGCTGGTGTGACTTTCCACAGTGGTCTGTAGATGTATTTCTACCATGATAAAGGGGAGTGTTGACTCTTGATTTTTATATAGGTGGGCTGGGCCTGCTCACAGAAACTGCTCATTAGGGAAAGGCAGGGACCTGAGCTAGCCATGCCCACTGGTAGCCAAAGGTAGGTTGTTTCTACTTTGCAGAGGCATTCTAGAATAATTGTGCTTGGCCACAGCTGCCATTCTTTTTTGCTTCCTCTATGTTGGTTGAAAAAGTCCTGAGAAAATTCAAACTATCCTCCACTGACCTTATAGCTCCCCCTCTTCCTTTTCTAAGTGACATTTAAGGGCTCCCTTTGTATATCTGATACATTCCAACAAGGTTTTTCATAATATTCCCCTACCCACTTTTTAAATCTCGATAGGTTGCTTCCAGCTTCAATAAGATACCAGATATTGAATACCTAATATAAGGTAGATATTTCAGTTGGAGAATTTAGTTGCAAACTTACTTTAGTTAGTGCAAGCAGTACAGAAAGTTGTTAAAACATATTAGTGTCTAGCAGGGCCAGAAAGTCAGACATGGAGGTTAAGGAACCAGGAACAATGCCCAGATTATAATGCTGAACACTTCAAAGACTGGATACAGTTCTGGACAGAAGATGCAACTGCTGGGCTCCTGGTCAGTTCTGCCTCTGTAGGCTGAATGCCTCCACACCACTCTCGTCAGAAACAATTCTTTCTGGAATCTCCTTATTCATGTCACTCTTCTGAACTGGTGATTTTTCTGGGTATTCCTGACTGACAGACTCTAAGTCCTATGTGTATGTGTGTGTGTGTGTGTGTGTGTGTGTGTGTGTGTGTATCCCAGCCACAAAGGAGGCTAGAAAAGTGAGTTCTGGTTTCTATGCTGGGAAGTCAAGGATTCAGATGGTGGGGAATTATCCAAATAAATTAAAGATGCTAAAAAGTTGCCAGAAAGCTTGACAAAGATTTGCTATCTAGGTAATCAGTAAATAGAATCTCTTTTTCACAGAAAAAAATTAACAAACTGGAATGGATACATAAACATGTTAGCTGTATCTCAGGCAAAGTTCAGGCAAAGTTCACTATGAAACTTTATTATGAAAACCTTCAAACATATGCTAAACTTCAACTTTATATCAATTCTTGGTTAATCTTGTTTTAGTTGTGTGTTGTGCCCCATTTTCCCTGATTATTTTGAAGCAAGTCATAAACACCAAGTCTTTTCATTCATAAATCTTTTGGCATGTATCTCTAAGAAATGAGTATTACTTGCGAATTTTCAGTTTTGGAGAAGCAGTAAGGCACATCCACTTGTCTGGTTTTGCAGCAGTAGTCAGATTCCCCTTCAGGATCACAAATATTTATCTAGTAAACACTATGGGAAGATACTGGAATAGGTAGCTCATATTCTTCAGGCGTTTACAACCTATTCATTTATTTACCCATTCACCCGGTCAATAAAAGGTTAATAAGTACCAGCTATCTTTCCCATACCTGGCTCAATACAGAGTTTAATAAAAATATAGTCATTGATTAAAGGGAGCTTTTTGTTGTTGTTGTGGACCATTTTTTAAAGTCTTTATTGAATTTGTTACAATATTGCTTCAGTTTTATGTTTTGATATTTTGGCCGCAAGGCATGTGGGATCATAACTGCGTGACCAGGGATCAAACCCACACTGCCTTCCAGTGATGGCAAAGTCTTAACCACTGGACCGCCAGGCAAGTCCCTTTCAGGGAACTTTGATGGAGAACAGACAAAGGTCTGATGTGTTAAATAAAAAAGGAGGAGATAAACTATTAGTTAGTTAAAGAGATGTCATAAGCACTATGTGATCACAGAATGACTCAAGAAAACAGTAGACAAAATCCTCTAAGTTTTTATGGAAAATTTTTGATATGCTAGTTCCCAGTTACTCATAGGTAGAAATTACATACCTATTGAATATAGTTGAATATCTTTGATTCAATGCAAGTACAGATATATTATACACACTTTAAAAGAGAGACAAAAAACATTGTCTAACATATTTGCTAAAATTTCCCTTTGGGGGAATTCACAAAAGCACAGAAAGCCCCCAAATGTATTGTTTATTTTTACGCAAATATTATGTTATTCAGAGTTATATCACTTGGAAGGGATATACTAGCAGATGTGTAACTTCAATGATTTCCAAACCCAAAGAGGCAAATATCTGACTTGTTATGGCTATAACAAGTTGGTTTGAGTGTGAAGAAGGAAATATAGCCTTCCATGTATCTAAGTAAAACATGCATAAATGATACCAGAACTGAGCTGAATTTAAAAGTTTTCAACTCAGATTTTGTAAGTGCAGCAGTCTCCCAACCCTCCATTTCCATCATTTTCGGTGGAGACTGAATTGTAAACAAGGAAAGAGCTCCATTCGGACAGGACAAATTGTTCTAGTCTTTGGACAATCCTCAAATTGCTGAACTCTGAACACACGACCTACATAGGATAGCATATCCTTAATTGACACCATCCATAATATCTCGAGTACCTGGATGTATAAAGTGTAATAATTCATGTAAAAAAAAAATAGGGCAAAAGTTACCTTAAAAGTAAAGTTAGGAGTTTCCCTAGTGTGTATGGCAAACTAACCTGGGAGGGAGAGAACCTTCTGAGTGAACAGGTACTTGGCTAGGTTCTTTTTCAGCCTGCATTCTTTGTACATGTCACCAGATTTGGAAGTGGCTGTCAAAGAGATTATAATAGTGACTAAGACGCTCAAAAACAAAGTGCTTTTCAAAGACCTTCCTTGTGTTGAGCAATTGAATGGGTACTCCTATAGTCATAGGGAAGATTCTTTCTAAAATTTCTTGGAAGATGAAGAAAAATGTGGAAAGTGAAGAAAGGGATAAGAACTTCCGTGCCTTTGTCCACAGAAAGTGGATGTCAAAGGGCTGTCTGTGTGATTCTAGGGTTCTGCACTGTATTCTCAGGTTTCTGGAGGGAAAATATGATTTCCTGAAAAGAGGTATTGATCGGCCTCTCCATTTTCATCATAAAAGTAGACTGGAGGTTGCTGATGTAACTTTATTCTTATTGGGCATTTGACTCCTAACTGTTTCATGGCTGTGCAGAATAGAACTAACAAGTTTGAACAGTGTCTTTTGACAAGCTGACTTATGAGGCTGGCTCTTGGCTAGCAATTGGGAATTTAAATTTGGGAAGTGTTCCCATGACTAACTGGTAAGATGGGCTCACTGAGCCCAAACCATTTGTACAAACAGTATGGTTTACATCAAACACCTGATTTTCTTCTGGGAGTCAGGAATCTGGCTATATACCAAACAGGGGGTACCTATGTGACTGGCCTCCAATAAAAACCCTGGGTGCTGACTCTCTAATAAGCTTTCTTGTTTGGGAACAGTTCATCTGTGTCATCGCAGCTTGCTGCTGAGGGTATTAAGTGCATCCTAAGGGACTGCCTTGAGAGAGGACTGAAAGCTTGTGCCTGGTCCCCTTGGACGTCGCCTCACGTACCTTTTTCTTTTGCTGATCTTGCTTTGCCTTCTTTCACTGTAATAAATCATGGCCAGGAGGTCGAATATATGCTGAGTCCTGTAGTCCTCCTAACAAATTATCAAATCTGGGCATGGTCTTGAAATCTTCCAACACAGTTGGAAGATCTATTGGGCTTATTTAAAGAAGCATGAGGGACTTCCCTGGTGGTCCAGTGGTTAAGAATCTGCCTGCCAATGCAGGGGACCCACGTTTGATCCCTGGTCTGGGAAGATTCCATATGCCTCGGGGCAACGAAGCCCGTGTGCCTTAACTACTGAATCCACCAGCTGAAGCATCCTAGAGCGCATGCTCGGCATCAAGAGACGCCACCGCAATGACGCCCATGCACCTCAACTGAGGGCATCCCCACTTCTGCAACTAGAGAGAGCCCATGCGTAGCAACGAAGATCAGCGCAGCCAAATAAATAGATAAAAAGAAAAGTATAAGAGGAGGATGAGAAGATGATGGCCTTGCATTTTGGAGAATTGCCATCGTCTTTATATTTATTACACTTATTAAGGTAAGATCAGTGTGCTCTGGGGATGAGGTTATAGACCTTAGAATGGAAAAGCGTGAGATAAGGAGCCCAACTATGACTTGAGCAAGTAACTTTGCCAATTAAAGTTTCACTATCTTTACATGTAAAATGTAGATAACAATATTTACACCAAATAATTACTCCAGAGATTAAATGAGATAATGTGTCTAAAACTTACCTCTGTATTTAGCACAGAATCATAATTCAATACTGTTGCTGTGATTAAAGGAAGACAGTACTGAGTTGTATCTTCAAATATTCTTCTAGGTGAAAACATAGCATATCTGTGGTAGAGAAAAATCTAAATTATTCCTGATATTGAAGAAAGATTACAGAAAGAAGGAACTATACTTATATATTATCTTGTATAAAATATATGCGTTATATTTCATAATGTTCATATTTCATACATTATGAATAGAAAATATTCACACTATGTATGGGCTTTCCAGGTGGCTCAAACAGTAAAGAATCTGCCTGTAATGCAGGAGATCCAGGTTTGACCCCTGGATTGGGAGGATCCCTTGGAGAAGGGCATGGCAACCCACTCCAGTATTCTTGCCAGGAGAATTTCATGGACAGAGGGGCCTGATGGGTCTGTGGGCTTGCAAAGAGTTGGACACCACTGAGTAACTTGCACTTTCACTTTCAAAATATGTACATAAGATACATATATGATATTTCAACTTATATTTTTTCACATTATAAAGCTAATACACACTGTTAAAAGCATTTAAATGATAGAAAAATATAAAAAATAGAGAGTGAAGTTCCTCCATAATTTTACATCTTCCCTCCAAGATCTGGTGCTTATTCTTTTAGGTTTCTTTATGTGTATATAGACACACACAATTTGAAAGAAAAAGTGGATCACATTACCCATATTGTTTCATGTTCATTCACTAATATATCTTGGCACTTGGCATTTCCATGTCATTCCATGTAGGGCAACCTCATATTTTAAAATGAGAGTTGGTTTCCCATTGTTTGGACCTGCCTTAGCCTGTTTAACAAAGCCCCTTCTGATGAACATTTGGATTAGGTGTAAAGTGAAGTTATTATAGACAGGGTTCCCATAAGTAAATTCTACATTTTATTTTAAAATTTTTAAGAAGTCTTTTTGCTGCACCATACAGCATGTGGGATCCCAGTTCTCCAATCAAGGATCAAACCTGTGACCCTGTATTGTCAGTGTGGTGTCTTTACCACTGGACTGCCAGCGAAGTCCCAGTGAATGCTACATTTTAGAAAATGGTTCCTGCTTTCTTCACTCCATTAGGAGAAATGATAAAAGCATGAAAAGGGGGAAAATAAATTAAAAAAAGTCTGGCTTTTTTCTCTTAACTAAATTGAGAGATAGACTTACTTAACGTGGGCTGAGAGAGCTTGACTCATTCAACTTGCCTCCAAGGGCAACTTCAAGGTCAGGCAAGCTTAGACTACCAGCCAATCAGAATCTGATTTCTAAAAGAAAACTGAAATGAAAAGGCTGTGTTCAAACAAAATTGAGATTGTAAAAGGTTGTACAGTGATTGATGTCTCCTTAAAAATTTGGCCTGGTTTGGATCGTGATTTGACCCAGAATATATATGAGACAACTGGGGGAATTTGACTACCAACTGGATACTTGATATTAAAGAATTTTAAACAAATGCATTAGATTTGGTCATGATGTTATAATTATGTTGATTAGAATCCTCAAGTTTCAGAGATACACACTGAGATCCTCGAAGATAAAATCATGATGTCTGGAGTTAGCTTCAGAATCATCCAGCTGGGGAGGAAAGAATTGTCTATATAAGAATATACAATAAGGCAATGATAGTCTCTTTGATAAGTGGTGCTGGCAAAACTGGAAAGCTATGTGCAAAAGAATGAAATTAAAACACTTTGTAACACCACACACAAAGATAAACTCAAAATGGATTAAAGGCCTAAATGTAGACCAGAAACTATAAAACTCTTAGAGGAAAACATAGGCAGAAAACTTGATGACATAAATCAAAGCAAGATCTTCTATGACCCACCTCCTAGGGTAATGGGAATAAAAACAAAAATAAACAAGTGGGACCTAATTAAACTTAAAAGCTTTTTGCACAGCAAAGGAAACTACAAACAAGGTGAATAGACAATCCTCAGAATGGGAGAAAATAATAGCAAAGGAAACAACTGACAAATAATTAATTTCCAAAATATACAAGCAGCTCATACAACTCAATACCAGAAAAACAAACAACCCAATCAAAAAAGTGGGAAAAAGACTTAAACAGACATTTCTCCAAAAAAGACATACAGATGGCTGACAAGCACATGAAAAGATGCTCAACACCACTCATTATTAGAGAAATGCAAATTAAAACTACAATGAGATACCACCTCATACTAGTCAGAATGGCCATCATCAAAAAGTCTACCAACAATAAATCCTGAAAAGGGTGTGGAGAAAAGGGAACCTTTTTACACTGTTGGTGCGATTGCAAATTGGTACAGCTGCTATAGAAGACAGTATAGAGATTCCTTAAAAAGCTAGGAGTAAAACCACCATATGACCCAGTTATCCCACTCCTAGACACATACACTGAGGAAACAAAAATGGAAAAAACACATGTACCACAATGTTCATTGTAGCACTCTTTACAATATCTAGAACATGGAAGCAACCTAGATGTCCATCAACAGATGAATGGATAAAGAAGTTGTGGTACATATATACAATGGAATACCATTCAGCCATAAAAAGGAACACATCTGAGTCAGTTCTAATGAGGTGGACAAATCTAGAGCCTATTATACCGAGTGAAGTAAGTCAGAAAGAGAAATATAAATATCATATACTAATGCATATATACGGAATCTAGAAAGATGGTACCAATAAATTTATTTTCAGGGCAGGAATGGAGAAACAGACATAGAGAACAAATCTATGGACATGGGGAGGGGAGGAGGGAGAAGGTAAGATGTATGGAGAGAGTAACATGGAAATTTACAATACCGTATGTAACATAGATAGCCAATGGGAATTTGCTGGATGACTCAGGGAACTCAAACACAGACTCTGTGACAGGATGAAGANAAAGTGGTGTCAAAATTGATCTTAAAGATTAAAGGAGAGAGAAATTACTCCTGATCTGGGTGGGAGTGTCAAACAGCATGAAACAGTGATTTGTTTGGTCAGTAGATCTGGATCCAAATCTCCTCTCTGCCAGTTACTAGCTGTAATGTCACATTTAACCTCTCTGAGTATCAGTTACAGGCAGAACATCTTGCCAAACTTACAGCTTTGCTGTAAAAAATAGAAACATTGACAATGAATGACATAATTCTTGGCACATATATTAAAAGTAATAGTTATGACTCATCCAAGTTGTTGAATGGCAGATATCAACACAACCTTGTAAACTCAATTATCTTCCAATTAAAAAAAAAGAAAATAGCTAACAACAACAACAACAACAACAAAAACTGCAGCCTGATAGTGTGGATATAATATTAACACTTTTCATATTCATTTTTCAAAGAAATACAACAACAACAACAACAAAAACTGCAGCCTGATAGTGTGGATATAATATTAACACTTTTCATATTCATTTTTCAAAGAAATGATAATAAGTCAATATCTTTCAGTTTAAAAAGTCATCTTTTTTTTCGACTGACTAGCATTCATTCCCTCTTCCTAACAGGACAGCCAATTTCAAGCACTTCTTCCCCATCATGTGTAGCCTTGATGGGAGAGTAATTCCAGTGGGCTGTCTCTCACTTTCTCTCATGACATTGGCAGAGCAAACTCTCTTTTGAGATTCTGACAACTGGCTTATCCCAGACATCCTGGAAGAGCATTCCTGCCAGGAAACAGATCCTTTAGTTCTTTTTTGCTCCCAGAGCTACCTAGGATCCTGCCAACTTCCAAGGCAAGTTCTCTTAGCTTCTTATTCATTTGCAGAGCTATCCATTTCTTCACAATAGCTCATTTGGTGGAGGTAGCCAGTGTTGGGTTTTCCCATTAGCAAGCAAAAATTTTCATTCTTTTATTCCAAATGATGGTTGCTTAAAGATTCTTGGAGAAAGAAGCTTTGTAGGAAACAGAGAAAGATGGGGCAGAAAGGTACAAGAGGAAGGAGGGGGAGACAAAGGAAGAAAGGCTAAATTTTTTACATCCCTTCCCTGTCCCAGCAACAGCCAGATCCACCTCTCAACTGAACCAGCTTCTTACTGTGGCCTGTACTTCAGATCCTACCCCTCCAAACTGCCCAGGGCCTATCTGCAACTTCACAGGCACATCCCTTGCATGTGTTTCCCCACCCATCAACCAACCAGTCATTCCATCCCTGCCCCACCCCTACCAAGCCCTCAGACCTGCCTCACCCTTGTTTGTCTCTATTAGACAATTATTTTAGGTTGACATATTCAGGTGAAGATGACCTGAAGTAGGAAATTAAGACTTGTATCTTTTCGCAGAAGTGCTCCTTTAAAAATAGAATCTAGGCCTGACAAGTGGTTGCTTTTTAAACAAACATATTATGACAAACCTAGACAACATATTAAAAAGCAGAGACATTTTTTTGGCTGAGTAATAGTCATAGATAGAATGCATTTGAGTCAGTTCTACTGAGGTGGATGAACCTAGCACCTATTATGCAGAGTGAAGTGAGTCAGAAAGAGAAAGATAAATACCGTATTCTAATGCTGTTGTAACCACGCGTTCCGGGAAACAAACTCAGAAGGACAATGCAGATAGTGGAGTGCAGTTAATTATACTGGTGGGCCCAAGGCATAGTCTCCTCTTAGCCAAGGACCCCAACCAGCATTTGTGAAAATCTTTGATACCCCATGTGTACATATCTGAACCCACCACCCCAAATTCGTTGAGACTTACATAAACAAAGGAAGGGTAAATACAATCACAATAACCCCATTATTCATGTGTTATGTGTTCAAACAGTTAATAATCAATAAGCCCACGGTTACATTCCAACCAGTTAATAACTGATAAGCCTGTGATTACATTACGATAGATACAGAAAAAATTAGGCAGGGGTGATTAGAGTATGTTTTCTCTTAGGCGATTAATAACCTGGATATGATCTTCAAGGTTCCCCTGTCCAGAGGGGATCTTATCCTTCTGTTTTCATTTCCATAGGAACTAAGCCCAGAGTTCAGAGTCTATTGGAGAGGTAGCTGAGCATGATCAGCATGGACAGGCCTCAGATGGAGTCCAGACCCTATGAATTCCTTCTTTATTCTTCCCTCTTAGTTTCTGTAACGAGAATC